CCCCCCCCCCCGCCCCCCCTCCTCGGTACGCCACTGCCTCACACCTACTTCGCACCCCTCGACCCACGCAGTGAATAGGATTCTCCATTATGGCTGGAAGAGGGGGGGGAGGAGGGATGGGGGACTTTCATACAATGGCTCCGTGATCGTTTAGACCTTTCGGCATTATGCCGGTATGTAGTGATAGAACCACTTATCGATTACAATGGACAGAAAAATCTTACAAGGGAACCGTGTCGAGTCGATGGCCTTTCCAGATGAGACCCATACTGCTTTGAAGAGTATTAAGCGTGATTTCAAATCTGCCTTCCAAATCTGCCAAGCGCCTCTGGACGCCGAGTTATGACCGTTCTTCGGAACGAAAAATGAATGCAGAATTTAGGTAAAATTGATTGTTACAATCTTTCCAGCGCTCAGATAAAGCAATGTTAAGTATTAGCATATTAAATAAAATGTATCCATTGCATAAACAGCTCTGATACTTAACACTGGACCATTTGACCAAATTTGGGCGATTTTGCTTTAGTTTTGCGTTCAATTTTTTGACCTGAAAAACGAGCATAACTCGGCGTCCAGAGGCGCTTGGCAGATTTGGAAAGCAGATTTGGAATCATCGATTAATGCTCTTCAAAGCAGTATAGGTCTCATCTGAAAAGGCCACTTCGACTCGACATGGTTTCCTTGTTAGTTATCGAAAATGTACAAGATATTTGTAAGACATATATGTACATATCTACAATTTTTTAATCTTCTTTTGAGCTGTGTTGCAAATACTTCCATTGGGCACTTCCGGCCATCGCAGAACTTCTTTACTTGGTTACGCTTTAGCTTTGAAGGGATCAAATTAAAGGCCGCTAGGCCACAGCGCAATAATATTCGTAAACAATTGGATAAGCCTGATAATGAAGTCCGTTCCAAGTGTCCTATCTCAACCCTTACGGGGAAGTAACACTTCTAGATCATGGTAAAAAGTCGGATGGACAGCATGGGGCATGACTTTTTGACTTGACTGTGACTTTTTCGCAAAAAAAAACGATTAGACCCAAAGTAGTGAAAAGTTCCTTAAGAAGAATTTGTTAGTAAAGATCAGTTTCTGCAAGACTTTTACTTTATGTTTCTATGATACTGAAGCGGAAGCAAAGGCAATTTTGGAATTTCTTAAAATTTCTCATTATGAATTTATGTCAGATGGATTTCACGCTCAAATTGGGGGTTAGGGTAGGAAGACCGGACACTGCAACTACAATGTTATCCCAGAGTAAAGCTTATTTCGTACAGCCTTCAAATTGTCTTTTTCTGGTTTCGGTGTGCTGCTAAGCTATTCTATTATATTAGATTGGAAACTAAGTTTTGCAACTGGTCTCATAACTTCCCTCTCACTCAACATGGCGCACTCAAGTTTTGCCACTGTGTTGATTATTACGTAAGCTACAAGCGCAGCTGCTGTTCTGCCAAATTCTGACGTCGCAGTGAGGGTTACGGTAGGTGTATGGTATGAAGGGGAAAAACTCAAAGTTTAACGGATTCGGCTGAAACTTGGCATAGGGGTGTTATCCAACATGCTGATCACGAAAACGATAGTGAAATTATGTGATAAGGGCTTTTTTGCAGGATTACTGTAGGTTACGATATGAGGTCTCACCCCAAACAAGGAAAAAGGCATTTATTCAACAAATGAAAATGATCGCGTTCGACAGGTCAAATAACCTTATTGTGTAAAGTCTCGGCGGAATTTGAGCTTCCGACTCTTTAGTCATTGACGGTCGTCCCCAGCAGCTCTTGCGTACATCACTCGTTCGGCTTTGTGAGGACGCCAAATCTCGATATGCCCCTAAATTTTGTTTCTTTCTTACTAGGCCAAAGGAGTCAACCTCCTGCAATAATTTTTAGACGAATCCGGATTACTGCGCGTGGTCTAGGCTGCTAAAGGCTTCATTTTAGCTTGAAACCCCAAAAATTCTCAAATTTCACTAGTTTTCGAAAAATGCCTGAAAATTTTCTATTTCGTGTTCAAAATCCAAACGGTTTGTGGCTTGTAGCACACATTACTCTCCACATAATGCCAAAACTTGAGTGCGCCATGTTGAGTGAGAGAGAAGTTATGAGACCAGTTGCGAAACTTAGTTTCCAGCCTAATAAATGCTTCATTGAGCCAGCAGGACCAAATTTGACATAGCGCCAAGTCTTATTGAATTGTAGTCAAAAGGTCAGGTTTGAAAGCAATCGTATGAAAAGTCCCTCTACCCTCCCCCTCAAATCTTACCCCCTACAGTATACTAGACGTCGAGGTGCGAGACTTCACACCTAGCCATAGGTGTTCACACCTCGCCCTCGGAATTGCTCATCGTATGAAAAGTCATTCACCCATTAATATGCTACGGGCAAACGCCGCTGCAGCTTTTTTATCATCAAAGACGCCGCTTCCTCGCCGCAGGAGTGTTTATGTATTAGGTCGTTCCATAAGTCGCGGCGTTTTTATGATAACAGAATCATAAATTCGCAGTGAAAATTAGTCAATGATCTTTTCTTCGATGCCGCTTAAAGGCAGCGTCCGGGCAAAATCTCAAACAAAATTTTTTTTCGCTTACCTGGCCTTATTCTTCCCGTTGATTCCGAAAATGCAGCTTGCAGAGAACGAAGAAGTCGAAAAAGGGCTTTTCTAGAAGCAGTTGATTTTGAATAATGACGCTTGCCGCCGAGGTTAAGACGCAGAGTCACGTGCTCGACATACGTACTCTGGCTATCGACTGAAGGGGCGGGCACGTCGCCGGGGCGGTCCTATCGCCACTTCTGAAGCGGTTTTATCGCTTCAGAAGCAAAGTGGTGCAATACCACTTGGGCAAGAGCTCCACCTGGCCGAGAACACCTGTACGCTACAGTTTCGTTTTTGCCCGGACGCTGCCTTTAAAGGCAGCGTCGGGCAGATTTGGACATTTTCGGGTAACGTCATAACCGAGTAGTGCGCCTTGATTCAGAACTATCGCGCAAATCCTACTTTTAAGCACCCCCTGTAAAGAGAGAAAATCGCTGCAGAAAACAGCGAGCCTCGAGGACACGTCCACTCCCTCGCACGGCCCGCCCCCTTGAACGACTCTCCGCAGCCCTTGACGTATTTTCACGTGGCAAACACACTTACTTTCGGCAAGGAGAGCATTGAGAGCACTCGTCCATGGTTTTCACAAAATTGTCTCAAAAACGGGGTTTTTTGAGAAATTCACGCATTGGAGTGCAATACTCGGAATCAGCAACATGAAAAGGCCTGGATAAGGCAAAAAAAAAAATAGAAATCGAGATTTTGCCTGGACGCTGCCTTTGAAAACAGTCTTTGAAATCGAAACCATTGTACCATTCAGATTGTCTGCGAAAAAGCGGAACAGATGATAATTGATATAGCGAGATTTAGAGTACGTCGGGTACAGAAGAACCTTCTAGTCGAATCTTGCAGCACTTAACGACTTTTGCCGTATGGTGTCACGTTTGGTCGTGCAAAAATCACTGGATCCGTTTAGGCTTTTTCTGCGATTTTGTCTCGTTTAGGCGATGCAGTTAGGTTGCCTTCGGTAAGGTCGACCGTCTTCCTCTCGTCCTCCAGGTTTCAATGCAGGACATCCTCCCTGTTTCGCGAAAAGTCCTGTTTAGGAACCCTGAATAACCTCTGATCTCTTAAAGAAAACTGATTTCTTTTTGTTTTAAACTGACGGGCGAAGCCATTCTCCGTAATCGCTTACAAACTGTGCAAGAAACTCGCCTACTTTCATACGCAAAAATTACTATGCGCCAAAAATACATCTTTTTGGTCTTCTAAGGCCATCTTTGGAAGCTAAAAAGTTGAAGTACTGCTTTTGAAATCAGTTCGTATGTTTAAAGTGTGAGCAGCCCTTTTCAATGGTATATGCATCTTGCCACAAAGCAAAGTTCTCCGGAGGACTGAGGACGAAAATCAAAAAACCACGAGCTTACGAATGACCTAATGTAGGGGCGCGAGGAAGGTCGACGATTAGCTAAAGCATGATTATGCCCTCATTCGACTTTTCAATGTACTTCTGATATGGCATAAACTAGACAATGCCCTGAATTAGGCTGTCACGACAATGCAAACATCAAAAAAGTGGTTGGAGGGGACCTCCGAAACGTTCGCGTTGGCTGGAGACACCCCAGTAGTCTTATATATACAGGGTTTCCCAAAAAATGTGCCTACTGTTTGATTGTTAATAACTTTCTTGTAATGAAGTCTGTCGAGAAGCTTAAGGTACCGCTTTGAAGGGCTAGCTTCAACTTAGATTTGTAGTATAGAACGAATCACCCATCTCTATTCATTACTTTAGGGTTACGGTAGAAACTTCAAAAGAAGGTTTTGAGTCATGAAAGGCCATATTCTGCCTCAGAAAGGAAACAAAACAGGCTTGAAAACTTTGACACTTTATGAATTTGAGTTGCTGATTCTAATTTATAATAAAAAGTTATGCGAGGTAAGCAGTAGCGATCGCTTTTTCAATGTTCCTAAAAAAGTGCGGCTACCCGTTTAGAAAGCTTCGCAAACTTGTACATAGTTGAGTATGAACTTAGCGTTCACGAAAACCAGGTTCACAAGTTTTCACATTTTCTCGAAATTTTTTTGAACAGGCAGTTTTTTTTACAATACACCATAAACTTGAAGTTTCTACCGTAATCCTACAAAAAATGGAAAGCAATCGATTCACTCTCTACTGTAAATCTAAGTTGAAGCCAGTCTACAAAACGGTAGTCAAAGCTTCTTGAAAGAGTTCATTACAAGAGAGTTATTAACAATCAAACAGTAGACACATTTTTTGGGACACCCTGTACAGCTGAATCTGTTTGTGTGTATATATTTGTGTCTATCCGGTATGTTCCGGACATAAATTTTCGTTCCTGAACTGATCTGGAACAAACTTTGCACACATACGCTTCGGGTGGGGCGGGTGTGATGAGCTATATTTCGCTATAGATCGATATCGATTTTGTCGATTTTTTCAATTCAAGCTACCGGCTGGGAGTTAGCACAGGGGCTAAGTGAGTGCTGATAAGTAATACATTATTGAGGGGCCGGGGAAGTCGGGTTTTCCAGCTAGTCACTAGTATTTCCGCTGCCGCTAAGTGATAATGACACTGGCATAGGTGTTAGAAACCTAAATTGGTTAGAGGAGTAACGAAGATTTTCATTCGTAATAAGCATGTTCACAGAAGAGCAACAATTAGTGTCAATACGAAATCCGCTATGCACTGTCTGTGTTGTAAACATTTTGCAAATTTCATGGAACATTTCCAATGTCTGTTCTTGTTTGTTTAGATAGCTACTCCGTATGACACCAATTTCTTATATAATCCTATGCATTGCTGTGTGGACAATCAAAGGAGAAAGTAATGATGAAGCAAGAATGCTTGAATTGTGCCTCAAAAGAACTGTTTTTAGAATGCACAGATAAGGATTTTAACGTTGATTTACGAGTATCCGAACATGGATCAATGGAATCTTTCTACTCGATCGCAAATGGAATTTGTGACGGGATACAGTCAAAGCTGTCGGAGGCGGCAGTTACCGTATGTTTTGAACTCAAATTTAGTGAAGGAATGATCGCAAACATACCTAGAAAGCACAGGTTGCCTGGCATTATGAACTGTTGTGATTTGTGTGTACAGCGAAGTCACAAAAATGTGCGCTTTTTTTTGATAACCATACTACTTCAATGATTCACGAAAGGCCACAATACATTACTACTTTCTGCCAAGTGTATATCTTCAGGACTTTTTAGTAGCTTCTAATAATGCGCGGGTTCGACCTTCTAGGCTAAAAAACAATCGATACTCATTAATTCTAGCTTGTGTGAGAGCCTAGCTGTTGTATTGTCGAAAAAATTTTGAGCAGCAACCTTCTATAGTTTTTGCAAAAGTTGAGACTTTTATATGAATCACATCGATTTCAAAATTGCTTAAACAAGCACTATTATCCTAACAAAGAACTTCTTATACGTTGCACGCCTCCACACAAGTGTCCTGTAGTTGTTGTCAAATCTCGTTACTTTATAAGATCTCTTGAACTTTCACATAAATCTATGTGAGCTGCACCACTTCTGATCTAAATAACCCTGCTCATCCTTTCGCTGTGCTGCGATCGTGAGCATTGAGAAAATCCCAGTTTATCTTTGTTGTCTTCCTCCTCTGCCTTGTCGTCTTTTCTCCTTGATCCACTTATGGTTCGGTGCAGATTGTTTCTAAACCCTAGTATTATAAACGTCACAAAATTTACGTGGTGTTTTATCGCGATGTCATATTAGACCCCGTTTAAAACTTCATGCCACCTAGCGCCATGTAAACTTTTTCGTAGACCTTGAAGTACTTCTCACAGTTGTTGTCAATCATATGTACTTATTCTTGGCATTTCTCCAATCGAAATTTTGATTTTTCTGCATCGTTTTTTCTATTTTTCTAGTCCAGATACGTTAGGTGTCACAGCAGGTAGCAAAGCATAATATCTTTGAAAAATGATCTTTCAGCATTTGAATAGACTTTTGAAAAAGGTTAGATCATGGTTGTGAGATTGGAACTGAGTCTAGAGAAGCTCTGTCACCTGCAGAAGTCACTTTACTTTTCAACATGAATATTAATTCCTGATATTGTGAAAAACGCAGAGTTCGAGAAGAAACATGACCAAGTGTTGTGGAAATTTCGTAATTTAAACACACATGTAACATAAAATGAAGGCGACTCATCTATGTCATCGCATCAAAGTTTGTAAGTATTCCGAGAATCGGTGATTGTCGGGACTACTGAAAGTCTGTCAATCTCTTGCGATCACATGCTTTGATTATTGAGTCATGAATGAATATTTGTCTCCAAATGTAAAGAAATGTAGACAGTCTAGGATCTTCATAATACTCTCAAGGAAGAAGACTTGAAAGATGCTTCTTCAACAATTATTGACAGGTTGGCCAAGAATCAGGTAACACCAACCTCGATTAGCAGCCGTAGTCTTTCTGTTATTTTGCAGATAGGATCTATAGTTTTCTGCTTGGTTGGCATCGTGATCGGCGTTTGTTCGCTGGGGTTTGGTATCACCATTTTGTGCATGCGATGTTTGTGTAACCATCGCAGAAATGCTTATGCTTCGGTAAGTCGAAATTTGTCCAAGATGTAGTTTGTGTCATGAGGGGTGAAAGAGTGCTCAACGAATTGTACTACCTGTCTGACAAGGCGAACTGAAGGGAAGGAGCCCCCCGCCCCTTCCCTGAGAATGGGTCGCAAAATTTTTTGAAGTTACTCACATAAGTTGGTGCAAATGACTTCTTTATCTTAGATAAAAAGGACAAAGGATCAAAGGGTTCGGCGTCCCCAATACCCTCAGCGGGCATGCGCCGAACGCACAATACTTTATAGTCGAAGAGGCACTTGTATGCGTGCGAGCTTTTACAATGACTTGCGGGGACCACCCGGTTACCAAGTCAGTGCTTTTATCCTCCCCGATTACTCTGGTACCGATTTACCGTTTCGGAGAGTAGAGGGCTTGGTTGGCCCAGGGGTGGGATCGAACCTGCGTCCGACTTGGTCATAGCGGCGCCTCATACCACTACGCCACTCGTCCGCCTATTTTCTAAACAAGAAAAATTATTTTTAGAATTTCAATAAATTCATAACTTTGTACATTTGGATAAAAAATTCGACGTTTTGGGAAAGGGAGCGTGGCTCCGTCGTCCCTCTTAATGCAAAATTTCAAATTTTTTGAATATTTCCTTCATAGTTGTCATCTATGTTTTGCTCATCATTCTGAGCAAGATGCTTGCAAGGTGAAAGAAGCGGTTGCTTAATTACTCCAATGACGCTCTGTACGAACAGAAGCGCACCTTTTGCAACTTTTCATCAAATAATTCACCACAATCAAGATAGAAAAGTAAGCTCGGCGAAGTTATCTCATTGTAGACAGGAGTAAGATCAATCAAATGCATGAAAACAGACGTCAAAATAGTCGAATTCGAGAAACAAGCGATTTTTGAAAAGATGGGTTTTACCAGATTTCTCGATCAAACTAGTAGGTTTTAGCGACGTTGCCAGTGTGGAAAAGAGACCAAGAGCTATAGTATGATCTACAAATTGCTTGAATTAATTTTTAACAACGAAAAGAAGGGTACCAGAGTCAAAAGCGCGTACCCCAAGCTGGGATAACGAGGTAGCGCGCAAGACTTACGTAGATGAGCAGGGTAGAAACCTCAGAGTCGAGGGAGCATATAGCCCTTATGGATCTCTGCGTCCTTAGCGAAACCCTACAACATTACACATCGCTTTGAGCGCGATGACACTACTCTTAAATATATATTTGAAGAAGCTTTTCGCTAAGTTTTTAGCCATTCGTTCACAAACTTCGTGGATTTTACGCTAAATGTTTGAATTATTCGACTTGTTCTAGCTTCATGATAGTCTATGAAGTAAAAACACACTCAATGTGAAAACAATTGAGTGTTTTCACTCATTTGATAAAATCGTCGAAGGTAATGAGGCACTTTTACACTCCGGAAAGAACTCTCTGCCAAGGTAACATAGCTCTCAATAGTATGATAAAGTATATTGAGAAACATTTCATACATTTCATTGACTGTGGAAACAGTTTTGAATGAACCGTACCAGTCTACGCCACTAAGATGCTGTCTTACTCCATTTAGATCCATATTTTTGAAATCCCTCTACATAACATACCCCGCATCTTGTGATTCAAATGATTCACTCGAAAACACACTAAAGCATGGTCACTTTTCCCGGGGGGGGGGGGTTCCACACTTATATCTCTCAACACATCCTCATCATTTGTGAAAATGAGGTCCAATACGTGTTGTCCAAGCGTATATGACCCCACTTTCTGAGTCAAACAGTGAAGCATACACATGTGAATGAATTCGTTAGCAGCGAGCAAAACATCTTTCGATTTGGAGGGGTCTGCCCAATTCACACTTGGAAAGTTGAAGTCTCCCATGAGAATGGTGGTGGGAACAAGCATGGAAGCTGGCAGCTACTAGTAAAAATACTAGAGACTATGACAAATTTTGTAGACTGAATAACAAGTTTACCAAACTGCTCAAAAATATAATGTTTCTATTGAGAGAAGAGTAATTGAATCTGGAGAGAGATCAGGCTTTTATAAATTGATCAGTTCCAGACTCAAAGGTAAAAGAGAGCTGGGGGTTTTGCAGAGAGATAGTGGTAAAGTTATATGCAATGATGGAGATAAAGCGGAATATTTTGACTTTTTCGCTACAACATTTGTTGAAGAGAACGATGAAAGTGAAATTGAAAGTGTTCCAAATTACCAAAGTATGGCCGATGGAGCATGTTTCAAAAATGAAGACATCTGTCAAATACTGATGAAGTGGCCTAAGTCAACTACCTGATTTCGTACAATTACGTTTTATCAAATCCATAGCAGATATAGTGAGTGGGCCGCTTCAATACATTTTCAATTTGAGCATGGTGCGCGTAGAAATCCCTGATCGGTGGCGTGTGTCTTTTGTCAGACCTATTCCTAAAGATAAGAAAAAGCCTCTTACTAGGTCCAGAAAACTATCGACCATTAGCATAACGTCTATTTTCGCTAGACTATTTATACTGAAAAGGCATATTGTAAAGCATTTAGAGACTTATAAGGTAATAGCAAGTGAGCAACACGGGTTTCAAAGCGGTAAATCTACTGTTACGGCTATGTTACAAGCAGTCAATGACTGGACAATACAATTAGATAAAGGTCAGAGTATTGACGTGATTTACTTAGATTTTACGAAAGCATTTGACAAAGTTCCTCACAGTAAGTTGATCTCCAAACTTATAGCCGTAGGAATACATCCACGGATTGTAGCTTGGATTGAAGCTTTTTTGAGTGAGAGGACATTCGTGGTCCATGTCAATCGCTAGTTTTCTTCCCCTAGAAGAATGCAGTGCAGGGTTCCACAGGGGGGGAGGGGAGGTGTTCTTTCGCCTATTCTCTTCAACATCTTCACCCATGAGCCTCTGCGCATATCATTGTCTAAAGGAGTTTCTTGCAGCGCATTCGCGGATGATGTTAAGCTCTACAATGCTGTAAATGATGACGTTGGACTTAAAGACCCAAAATTTCACCTTCGATGTTTTTGTCATTCAGGGGCCTTTCCGTGCCGCTGATTACAGTTATGTCATTGAAATCATCCAAAAGTCCCAAAAAACCCCGATTTCCGGGGACCTTCTCTTCAGAGGCGGACGAGTTTCGAACTGCTCGTCCCCGTCGGCATGCCAGCAGCTGCAACAGCATGACAGCCTGCAGTTGCAACTGCAACTGCTGCATATGCCGTCGTGGTTTGCAGCCCGAAGGTGGCGCACCGCAAAAAGCAACTGCACTGTTGCAGCTGCAGTTGCAACAGTGCAGTTGCTTTTTGCAGCATTGCAACAGCAACTGCAACGGCAACTGAAGCTTACGCTTTGTGGATTCGTCCGGAGGAGGCGGAGTGAAGGAAAAGGGGCGGAGTGAAAGAAAATTGAGGGGAGTTTCCTACGCTTGGAAGCAGCATTGGGAGACTGGACCAACGCAGTTGGTCTTCTTCTGGGCCCAGTATATACACGGTATAGAAAGATCTAGGAAATTCGGTAACTTAGATTTTGGGTGTACGCTGCCTTTGAACAATTACAAGATGCACTGGATGAGGTGCTTGATTGGTCACTACTATGGGGTCTGCCTATTTCAAAAGAAAAAACAAAAGTACTACACTTAGGTTCCATTAATACAAGATACCTCTACCGTGTTGGTTTCAATTATGATCAAATAACCATCCAATCAAGTCCGTAATGCAAATCTTGGGCTCTCAAGTATTGCTTATAGAAGAAAGAAATTCGATCTTATCACGGTGCTCAAAATAATATTTGGAACATACAAGCTCGATTTGAGGATTTTTTGTGACTAGATCCTCTAATACTAGAGATGGACTTAGATAGCTTGTGTTACCAAAGGCTAGGCGAAATGTTTGAAGACACTTTTTCACGCGCCGAGTGGCGCATGATGTAGATATACTTTTGAGGAAGAGGATGTTCGTGGCTAAACTAGCAATGTTCAAAAAAGTTTTGAGAGGCTACCTGAAAACACACTAACACTTTTTTTGCTCAGGTGCTGTTGTGCTGACTGTTCTTTTGTTATTGTTATTTGTTTGTTCCTTTTTCATGGGGGCATCCCTATGCACAAATAAATAAATAAAACGTAATGGTCAAAATTGCTCTTACAAGGGAAGCTACCTAACTTAGCTCGGCCTTTTGGTAAGGGACATACCCTCGACGTCAATCCCTAAGTTACATTTGCAAAGTGGAGTGGTTTGGTGCAGCCGCCTCGCTTTGGGCTCGCGCCACCTTGCGAGCGCATGAGTTGGCATGGCGTGGCAACAGGAGCAACGAAGAAACGTTGTTCTTGTTGCCACGTTTGAACATGTTATGGCGCCACGTTGTCTTTAGCGCCACATCACGTCTAAACGATGCCCCAGCAACGTGGCGCGAGCGCAAAGCGAGGCGGCTGCACCACACCACTCCACTTTGCAATTGTAACTTAGGGATTGACGTCGAGGGTACATAGTCTGATCAGCTTCAAACGCTGATTCCAAATATGCTATATATAGCTGCCATCGCCATTCCGAAGCTGTGCTTTTTCCTGCGGAAAATGGCATACTCATCGACTCACGGGCATCATGTCATCATCATTCAAGTGCTGATACACTGCGTTGAGCTTTTTAGTGAGAAAAGATTGGATTGTACTATTTCGATGTCTCAGCACCTTTTTCTTGCAAATTTTTATCTACAGGCAGTCTTCTCATGTTCACTAGTATGCCAGTTGTGCATAGGAAAAAGCCCATAACTCGCTTTGGAATAGCGCGTGGCAGCTAGGAATATCGCATTCGGAATCAGCGTTTGAAGCTTATTCGGAATATATATGCCTTTTATCAAAAGGCCAAGCTAAGTTAGGTAGGTTTTCAATAAGTTGAACCTAGCTCTGAAGAATGGTATCTCAAGCTCGGCAAAAGACAAGAAAGTAAGAGAGTTTTTAACGATCAAACAGTTGCACATCTTTTTGGGACACTCTGTATGATGAAGCGCCTTATATTTCTTTGAGAGCGGCATCTTATATCATTGTTTAAAGCGTCAAGAGTAAAATAGACTTTTGACAGCTTTGGTTATTGTTAAATCGTCGTAATAATACCAACAGCAGCAAAGAGGGAGATATCTGAGTCTGTGTTGGGTTGGTTATTAATCAAGATTAAAAGGGATTCAAAAATATTAATCGGCTAATGGACGACTCTTGACGTTGGTAAAAACAACTTTGGTAGTATTATGAGTTTAATATAATATAATTTTTCAGGAGTATGCCGACGATGTACTATCAGTCTTTACTCAATTACTGCTGCTTATTTTTTTAATGGTTGCGTTCTCTCTTTTGATTGCTGGTGTAGTGCTCAATAATAAGAGTTCATCAGGCCTGTTCTCCTCGACGGAAACTTCACAAGGGACACTCAAATTGATAATGGGTGGTAAGCTAATAGGTTCTCATCATCTTGCTGCTTGAGAAAACGGCACAGCATTACATGATCAACGCCAAGATTACTAAACAGCTGAGTTGACAGTTTTACAAGCAATTGACATTTCCTCTAAATCACAAACATTTGAAAGCATCATCTTTGCCAATCGGAGATTTGAGATTTTGTTGTTTGGAAACAAGGTTTCATGGCGGAATATGGTTTGGTTAAAATTTTTAGGTTACGTTAACCGACATGAGAAACTATTACGTCGTCCCGAAAGTTTTGTCGGTTTTTTCATCGCTCACTTAAACTCACAGAACACCAATCCATGGACGACTTAGGTACCACTTTTTTAGGTTACGTTAACCGACATGAGAAACTATTACGTCGTCCCGAAAGTTTTGTCGGTTTTTTTCATCGCTCACTTAAACTCACAGAACACCAATCCATGGACGACTTAGGTACCACTTTTTTAGGTTACGTTAACCGACATGAGAAACTATTAGGCCGTCCCGAAAGTTTTGTCGGTTTTCTTCATCGCTCACTTAAACTCACAGAACACCAATCCATGGACGACTTAGGTACCACTTGATACATATTTTTATCTTCTTTTTTATAGCTATACTTGCTCTCTGACCTACCCTCTCTTTGCGAAACGCCATGGCTTTTTGAGCAGCTCAACAGCAACGCCAAAATTTTCCTGAATTTTGAAAATTTCCTGATGTTTTCGAAGAGCGCTAGTAACTATTAGGTTGTCCGGAAATTAATGGGTTTTGAATTCCAACCGCGATAAGTCATACATTTTTCATTTACAAGTAGGTTGCAAGATATCATTCGATAGAGCAAAGCGAGCTCTACAAGATGACTATCTTGCTTTAGCAAAAGCTCTGATCCACCACGAGTTTCAAGCCAAAAACTAAAAAGATTCAGCTGCCCGAAAAATTGAGAAAAATCGTAACTCAGTTCATAAAAATTCTACAGAAATTCTAACTTGCTCACGTAAACACAATCCACATAAGGCATCTGTATACGCCATTGCCGCATTTTTTTCTTTGTTAGAAATCAAGAGAACGGAAATTTTCGCGCATTTGCCAAAGTGATGCTATGCGGTTCCCACATAGCTAGATGTATCCTACAAATCTGTAGTAGTACAATCGCAAATTTCCAGCTCTCTACAAGCTTTAGTTCTCGAGAAATATGAATTTTAGCTTGGACCACATGACTAGAAAAAACTGTATTCGATATTTCTCGAGAACTAAGGCCTGTAGAGAGCTGGAAATTTACGTTTGTACTTCTACAGGTTTGTAGTATACATCTACCTATGTTGGAACGGCATAGCATCACTTTGGCAAATGCGCGAAAATTTCAGTTTTCTTGATTTCTAACAGAGAAAAAAATACGGCAATGGCGTACACAGATGCCTTATGTGGATTGTGTCTACGTGAGCAAGTTAGAATTTCTGTAGAATTTTTATGAACTGAGTTACGATTTTTCTCAATTTTTCGGGCAGCTGAATCTTTTTAGTTTTTGGCTTGAAACTCGTGGTGGATCAGAGCTTTTGCTAAAGCAAGATAGTCATCTTGTATAGCTCGCTTTGTTCTATCGAATGGTATTGTTGTGTCCTCCACTTCGGACACGTCGACTCTTCGTCCCGAGGCGCACACGGAGGAAATACAAGAATATTTATTAGCAAATAATAGAGAACAGTAAAAATAAAAAGAGGCGATGAGTGAGCTGTCGAACTGACAATAGCTAATAGCGAGCGCCTTTTATAGCGCTCATTTCCCGCGCGTTGAGGTCGCAGGCGCCTCAACGAGGGCAGATCATACGAGAAAACAACTGATCAGACACTAACATAACACCTCCCCCAGTAGGGTAGTTACACAAAACTAGCCTACGATAAAAGCATGAAAAACAAATATGGACAGCTAAGAAAACGGTCATGTGTAGATAGCATATCATTTAAACAACTACACTAATGAAATAAACATACAATAACATACTATGAACTAGATTGGAACCGTTGTACCGGTTTTCTCGTTCTGCTCGACCTGCGGAGCGTTGTCGGTGGCGTGGAGAGCTCGTGGCTTGATGTCGACGTCGATGTCGTTGAATCCACGGGTGCTGACACATCGTTCGCGATAGCTCGCTCGGCATTCTCGTCGGCTGCACTGCTATTCCTCAGTAGAGTGTCGTCTTCTGTCAAAACATCTAGGAGTATCTTCAAGGCTTCGGACTGTTGATGAAGTTGCTGTCCCACGGCGAGCTGTTCGCTATCGCTTCGATGCCGTAGCTGATTTGCATGCTTCTTGCACATCTCGTCGCCAACCATAACTTCATAATTGACACGTCCAATACGCCTCATCACGGTTCCTTTCATCCAATGGAAGTGGGGTGGCTTCCACTGTTTAGCGTAAACCAAGTCACCAACTTCGAATTCCTTTCGAACAACTCCATGCTTCTGGTCAAACTGATCCTTCATGCGCTCCCGTCTCCTTCGTGCGAGTGGGTCTTCTGCATCTTCTGTCATCGGGAGTAACAGACTTAATTTTGTGCGCAAGTTTCTGCCTAGAAACAACTCCGCTGGCGTCTTGTCGTTCAAGTTCGTGTTTGGTGTTGTCCTATACACTTGTAACACCAGGTTTAGAGTCTCTTCTGTTGGCCTCTCCTCCCCCTCTAGTTTCTTGATCCCGCGTTTCAGCGTATCAACGAAACGCTCTGCCTGTCCATTCGATTGAGGGTGGTATGGAGCAGTCCTTATATGGGTAATTCCACATTCGTCGCACATCTTCTTGAATAAGTCCGAAGTGAACTGGGTACCATTGTCGCTCACTATTGTTTGCGGTAATCCATATCTCGCAAACAAATTCTTCAAAGCCTTCACCGTCTTCGCAGCCGAGATATTGTTCATCTCGATCATTTCAGGCCATTTGCTGTATGCGTCTACTACTACCAAGTAGAAGACTCCTTGCATAGGTCCAGCGAAGTCGATGTGTATCCTCTGCCACACTCGAGTCGCTGACGGCCATGCTTCTAATGGTACTTTCGTCGGATTCTTGGCTAACTCCTGACATTTCGTACATCTTCGTACCAAGTCTTCGCAATCCTTGTCTATATTCGGCCAGTAGACGTAACTTCGAGCTAACTTCTTCATCCTTACAATCCCTGGATGACCACTATGTAGTTCCTTCAGAACACTTCTTCGAAGCTCCTTCGGTATCACAACCCTTTCAGCTGACACCAGACATTGCTCCACGATTGACAATGTCTCGCTTCGATTTCGAAAATGTGCCAATTCTCCGTTCACGTCTGGCCACTTCCCTTTCTTCACGTAGGTCATCGCTCTTTGTAGTGCTGGATCCTTCTTCGTGTAGGATTGCACATCTGATACTGTCACTGGTAGTTTCCTAATACAATCCTTCAACATGTAGTTAACGTCGTTTTCAACGGCAGCTATCACGACGTCTTCTTCGTTATTCTGACTCTTCTTCATCAACCGTGACAAGCCATCTGCTTGTCCAAACTTCGTAGTCTTGACATACTCTATGTCGAAGTCATATCCTAGCAGTATTGTAGCCCATCTCATTAGTCGGTTAGCGGAGTAGACTGGGACTCCTTTCTTATCACCGAAGATGGCTAACAATGGTTGATGGTCCGTCAGAAGTAGAAATTTTCGTCCGAATATGTACTTGTGGAATTTCTTGACAGCGAAGACAATTCCCAATGCTTCCTTTTCGATCTGCGAATAGTTCTTCTCCGCTTTCGTAAGAGACCGCGATGCATGTGCAATTGGCTTTTCGGATCCATCGGCATATTTATGCGATATCACGCATCCGATCCCATAGTCGCTAGCATCCGCTGCCACGACAATCTTCTGCCTTGGATCATAGTGAGCAAGGTTCAGCTCACTTGACAAACTCTCCTTGAGCTTTTCGAATGCTTCTTGATGTGATCGAGTCCATTCCCACTTCGAATCCTTCTTCAGCATCGCGTCTAACGGTCCACGCAGATCCTTGATTTTTGGCATGAACGCCGCATAGTACGTTATCATGCCAAGAAAAGCCCTCAGTTGACTAACATTCTTCGGCTCATCCATATTCTTGACCGCTTCGATCTTCGCTAAGTTCGGTCTTCTGCCATTTCGATCTACTATGAAGCCAAGATATCGTATTTCTGGCTTGCCGAAAGAACACTTCTCTAACCGAATCCTGAATCCATATTCGGCTATCCTTTCAAAAACAGCTAGCAGATTCTTCATGTGTTCTTCTTCGGTTCTTCCACAGACCAATATGTCGTCCAGGTAGGTTGCTACACCTTGCAAACCGCTTACCATCTTATTCATTATCTGTTGGAAGATTCCTGGTGCCGTCTTTATGCCAAAAGGCAATCTATTGTACTGGTACAATCCTCTATGCGTATTGATCACGACCATTTTTTTCGCTTCTTCTGACAACTCGATCTGCAGATAGGCGTCCGACAGATCTATCTGCGAAAACACCGTGCCTCCATTGAGGGATGCGAATATATCCTCCGGCAATGGCAACGGGTAATCATACGACTCCAGCGCTTTGTTGAGTCCAGTTGAAAAGTCAGCGCACACTCTCAACTTTCCATTCGCTTTCCTGACACATACGATGGGCGCTGCCCACTCACTATGTGTCACTGGACTTATGACGTTGAGCTCCAACAGCCCATCAAGCTCCTTTTCAACAGCTTCGAGTGCAGCGTGGGGGACAGGCCTGCAAGCCTTGAATACTGGACGAACATTTTCGTCAACTCTCAGATGCGCTTTCTCCTTTGTGCAGAGTCCTAGACCTTCTTCGCAGACTTCTGGGTAAGCTTCTTTTATCTTCAAAGCGATGTCCCTGGTTTTCTGCTCTGTCTTCACTTCAGCAACCATTCTGTTTAAGTGGTACGACATATCTTCGTTCTTCTGGATCCATTCAAGTCCTAGTAGTGAGTTGTGGGGCGTCACGTATGCGTATCCTTCGCTTCTGGATCCTTTGATTTCGTACTCACACCATAGCTTTCCATGGACTTTCATGGAGCCTCCACTAGCGTTCTTGACAACCACGTTTGTCTGCTCTAATCGAGGTGCGCCCATGCTCTTCCAAACTGATTCGTTCAGCAGCGTGATGTCTGATCCAGTATCCAACAGAAAGCTGACTGGATGACTATTCACTTTCGCTTCCACATATACGCGAGTAGTCTTCACTTCCATCATTGCGTTCGCAATCTTCGCAACTCTATGCACTTGGCGTTTTGGTTTCGTCCAACTTCTGTTCTTGCTGGTGTCGCTGCTTCTGTGGATTATTCGTTTCGAATCTTGCTGAACAAGTGCTTCTCTGTCTGCCACTTGTTCGCAATACTTCTCCTTGTGGCCTGTCTTCTTGCACTTCTTGCAATACCACAGCTTCGCTTTGCATTCCCTGGCAAAGTGAGCTTTACCACAGTTCCAGCATTCCAGCTTCTTGGGTTCTTCCTTGCTTGTTGCTTCGACAATCTTCGTGCAACCAGCCACAGTCTCGCTATCCTTCTTGAGACTAAGGAAGTTTTCGCACTCCAGATACAACTCCTGCAGCGACATTTTTCGTCCGGCCTTGTACTCCTTGTCCAGTACGGCTATGAGTCGCTGCCTGATTTCGGCTTCCTTTTGGCTCTTCAGGCCAAAAATCCATAGTAAGCATTTGATCCCATCGCTGTCCAAGTCATGGATCTTCGCTTTTTCGCACAATTCGTTCACTCGACCGGTATACATGAGGTAATCTTCGGAATCTGCCTTCTCCAGTTTCAGACACTGGTACCGCATAGTGAATTCCGAAATCTTCACATCGAACAACTGCTTCAGCGTTTCGACCGTTTCTTCGAATTTAATCGAGGTTACCTCCTTTGGTAACACATGCCTCTGATATTTTTCGAAACTGTCCTTGTCCAATTTTTCGCAGAGCAGCCTCACCCTGGCACTCTCTGTGAGCTGCTTCGCATCTTCGACGAAGACTTCCTTGTAACGCGCGTACCATTTGCTGAAGCACATGTCCGCTTCGGGGTCGAAGTAGAACTTTTCGATCCGATTGCTTAGTGCGGACATCATGTTCGGAATCTCCGTCGAAATGTTCTGGTTCGTACCTCCGATGTGCTTCAGGAACATCTCCATCATCTCCTTCCTTTCTTCTTTGATCATCTCTTTGAAGACCATCATCATCTCCTGGACGTCTACTTTCGCCATGTCGGTCGATAAATTCGTTAAGCTCTTCTCAGCTTCTTCGTCGACTTCTTCCTGGCGCGTGTTTCTTCGTTACGGCTACTTCTTCGCTAGTAGCCGCTATCCTGATCGCCACTGTTGTGTCCTCCACTTCGGACACGTCGACTCTTCGTCCCGAGGCGCACACGGAGGAAATACAAGAATATTTATTAGCAAATAATAGAGAACAGTAAAAATAAAAAGAGGCGATGAGTGAGCTGTCGAACTGACAATAGCTAATAGCGAGCGCCTTTTATAGCGCTCATTTCCCGCGCATTGAGGTCGCAGGCGCCTCAGCGAGGGCAGATCATACGAGAAAACAACTGATCAGACACTAACATAACAGGTATCTTGCAACCTATTTACAAATAAAAAGTGTATGACTTACCGCGGTTGGAATTCAAAACCTGCATTAATTTCCGGACAACCTAATATTATTTGGAACAAACCTTTGGCTACATTACATCTATTAGGTTGTCCCGAAAGTTTTGTCCGGTTTTTCAACCTATCATAAAAACGCGTAGAACGAAGATAGGGAAACGCTCTAAGCACTATCCGACGCATCTTTTCCTTCTCTTTCTAACTGTCATGCTTCCATGCCGATTAATCTTTTGTTCACTGAGATAAACGCCGAAATTTCGAACCCATGGTTTTTACTATGTCCAAGTTTGGCAATTTTTCACAATCTCTATTTTTAACTTTCGGAAAAGCTTTGGCAACAATTAGATAGAGCAAACAAAGGATAATGCAATTTTGCGGCATCTATAGCCAGCCTTGAAAATTTTTTAGATTTATTTTTTTGATGCTACCAAACTTTTGGTGATGCTAAAAGCCAGAGATCATGAAACCGCGCACAACTAAGGTGTTATTCGATGCAGCTCTTCTCCTCTTTCTAGTGAGTGTATCTTCTCTCCAATTTGCAGGGTCCTTGGCGATAAAATTTTCATAATTCTTGAATAGGAGCCCACTCCAGCGTGTACACGTAAAATGCAAAATCTTATATTTCGAAGCGGTAAACGCTTATTTGCTTCGTAAAAATAGTGAATAATCGTAATCGATTTTTGAAAGCTTCAAAATCCGATGATTTCTTAGTGTTCGAGGCGTTTCTGTATTTTAGAACTTCGCAAAAGTGAAGAATTTTGAAAAAGTTATCTTTAAAAATATTGAAAAGCCAGCTAGATAAGCCAAATAATTGCATTGCATTGCCCTTTGCTTACTCTATCTGAGGGCTATTAAAGGTACTCCAAAAGTTGAAAATGAAGATTGTGAAAAATTGTCAAAATTGGACATAGTAAAAACCATGGGTTCGAAATTTCGGCGTTTATCTCGGTGAGCAAAAAAGTAATCTGCACAAGATTATGACAGTTAGAAAGAGGAGGAAAAGATGCGTCGGCAAGTGTTAGAGCGTTTCCCTTTCTTTGTTCCACGTATTTTTATGATATGTTGAAAAAACGGACAAAACTTTCGGGACAACCTAATATTTTAGTTTACATAAAGCGCTTTTATAAAATCCGTAATAATTTTTTATTTGTGGAAAACCCCTGCTTTTTGATGACGTTTTACACGTAAAAGTACCAAAAATTCCATAAAGCTGCTTTTTCAAAGCAAATCAAATTTGGTTATGTTGCATAAAAAATGTTCAATAACAAACAAGTTTCAATTCGCCAAAACTTCAAAAGCTCTCATGTTTTTGCTGCAGTTGCTGTTTCACGACTTTGCCAATCAAGACCTTTGATGAATTAATTTATTAGAGCTAAAAGTAGCATATTAGGAGAATCTACAAATAATACCGTATAGCTCGAGAATTGCTCTATTTGGAACATGCTTAACCCTTTCAAAAACTTTGAAACGAAATTTTCAAAAATTAGCCGAACTTACAAGGGAAGGATACTAAGTAAGGTTCGCCTTTTGAGATGTGAAACATACATTTGGAATCAGCTTTGAACGCTGATTTCAATCATGCTATTCCTAGCTGCTTAGCTTCATTCTGAAGCGAGTTATGGGCTTGCATTTGTGAGTAACTAACAAACTTCTGAACGTCGTAAGACGACGTGTAGATAAGAATCTGCTCGAGAAAAGGGCTAGGATGTTAAACTAGCATCAGATTAATTCTTCCGATCTTGAAAAGGGAGCATTACACAATTGCAAAACCCTAGACGTCGACACCGTATCATCTGCAGGTCGAGATGCACGCAAACTTTGTATAGAAAAGAGACCATAACTCGCTTCAGAATAACGCTAAGCAGCTAGGAACAGCATAGCGTTCCAAGCTGATTCCAAATATACGTGTTCCATTTAAAAACTCGAATCTAAGTTCCTTGTTAGAGTAGATAATAATGACGGGTGAAGAATTTTAACAATTATCAAAAAAAGCATACAGGATTGCGGTCCGAAAAGGTAACCACAGAAAGAGAAGGAAAAGCTGTATCACTCATTCGGGTTCTTATTGTGCGTGATCTTATAGTAGTCTGAAAAAACCGACAAAACTTTCAGGACAACCTAATATATTTCATCATTGTTAATATTTTGCAAGACTCCACTGTATTTCACAAACTCGCCATCCTTCCATTGTGATAAAGATGTTTTTGATTTTTCAAAAAACACGCTATTTCAAGACACTGATGTAAGAATGAATTTTTCTTTCAATATGCCTTTCATGCAATAGTTTTTCAATCGCTGATGCATGCCAAAGCGGACTGATTACCGTACAGCAACATTTGTTTTTGCAATTTAAGACAGCACTAACGTCAGTGATCTGAAGGGTTTTTTTTGCCAAGCTGAGAAAAAGGACTGATAAGACAATCAATCTATCTTATCAAGAGTGATGTCATGAATATTTGCCCAAAAGAGATAAAACTGTGACGAATGAAGGAGACATTTGAAACAAGCCCATGACTGATTTTACTGTAATATCATTACGACGCACTGCTTGCAATGACTTAAAGAATAGAAAAAAATTTTTAGATGCACTCGAGTTATACAATAATGCCACAGCAACCTTGATATGTACCTTCGATGAGGTTGTTGACAAAACTTTGAATGAGGTGAGACTTGAACATAAGAATCTCTACATCAATATCTCTATCACGTCATACTATCCTTGCAGGTGGAAGAAAATGTAAAAACAGCTCCAGAACTTTTGGTGGATGATTTCAAAAACATGACTGAGATTTCTCGTCTAGATCAAGTAAGCTTTGAACATCCTAAAACTCGCTATTGTAATGCGATCGCCATCCTAGATGGATACAAATGCGACCCAGCAAGAGGTTAATTCGTGCCGTACTCAGTGCACAAGCATAAATGGGACAATTCAAGGGGTGTTGCAAAAATCTCCCGAAAGAAGCTGCGAGCTGAAGTTGAAGGGAACAAAAAAGATTATCGATGTTCTCTATGAGCAACTTGAAATTATTGAGGTAAGCATGTGATCTGTTGCGATTTGGTCAGCACCCCCTAGCCGTGCTCGACTGTCTTTCATTACCAACCCCTAGATGTTACGCGTCTGCGACCGACGTCCACTTCTGCTCCTTCACTCAACGCCTTCATCAACAATAGACATCTTTATACCACGCACGACTAGATTTGATGAATTTATATACCAAACAACAAGATACATAGACCAAACTATAAAATTCTTGAGTAGGCTAAATGATTCAGGTTATAACTCGGGACGAGAACGCATCTGTGGCTATAACCTGGATCCTAGAATCACGCTCTATCTATGCAAAGAGACTCTGGGTCAGGGCCCGGCACGCGTTGGTTTGGAGCACTTTTGGAAACGAAGTCCCCTCTGTCTTCGCGAAAAATTACGAAGTCCCTCTTGACGTGAAAATCAGTAGGGAAACCTTTGCTCAATCATAATAACGGAAGTAAAACAATCGTAATAACAATAAAGAAGCGAAAAGAGCGCATTTTGAGGTACCTACTAATATGACAAAAAAAGCAGAAAGAAAACATTTCGAGTTGATTAAAGGCTCTATCATTGGGTAGGGTACCATTTCAGAATGTCGAAAACCTCCTAGGCCAACCAAATCTGTGTCCTCAACAATTGGCGATGCATCTTTCGCCACACTTAGTGTCAAAGACACCGCATGAGATTGGAGCGCAGTATCTATCAACGCATAGATTTACACTACTTTTGGCTCAAAAAAAGAGGAGAGGCAATGGTTTGATTTGCTCTCTTCACTGTATGATAGATTTTTGACCGTTCTATTCGTCCAAACCAAAAAGGACCAAAACTTATGTGAACTCGCCGATATTTAGGCTCCGAACCAACCCAGTTGTTTTGATGTTGGTCCAAAAACTAACAAATTCGGGAACGAATATTAGGACACATAAGTTTTTGAATCTTTTTACCTAACATGGTTTGGAGTAATATTTTATACATATAGCCCAAATTCGGAGCCATGCGATTGTTTCTGCGCTGTAAACAAGCCGTTTGTTTGATTGAGTCTTGCGTTTGAAATCCGCGCGCTTGCGAAAGGACACGTTCAACTCGTAAAACCTGACATGTTCGTCGTCATTTTATCGGCGCTTCCCCCGGCACCTTATAAAAACCATATCCCCGTTGCTTCTAGCTTCAAAAACGAAGTCCAGTTTGACCCCAGACCATCTGTGCCGAGCCCTGCTCTGGGTTCTTCCATCAAAGTCGGCCGCTAGAGTTCCAGTCTACTAAATGCACTCTCCAGCTTCACTACCGCATCGCTGTTCCTCTAGTAACTCAAAAACAACTCATCCCAAAACATTCCAGAAGCTCAATCGCTCCACATAAAATCCTTTTTCGTGGGGCTCCTGAAAACGGGTTCGACTACGAAAAGATAGCAATCGAAAAATAAAACTCAAAGAGGCTGCTCTTGTGCACAGCCCTTAGCGCCACTTGGCCGCGTTCCCAATCGGGGTGGTTCTGAAGCGACTACAAGTGCGAAAGGTAGTGCGGCATACAGCTGTCCCAGCATCTGTTCTGGAAAGCTGCTCGCATCGCTGAGCCGCAACAAGTACCCATACCCCTCCATCCCTCTCCCTCCCGTAAAAGAGTCGCAATATTTCCAAAAGTGGTCTATTATTAGCAAAATCTGCAAGTAGCAAACAATCATTATGATTTGTTACATTTTCTAGATTCAATTAAGGCTCGTAAAGACTTTTTTCTGGTTTTGACTGTCTTGCTTACTTCTTTCAGAAATTCAGGTTCTAAACTGACTATAATTCTGGCACTCTTCACGGAGTGGTATAATTGCTGTTGCCTACCCCCCCCCCCCTTACCTAACGAAAAAACATTTTTAGCCTAGTCTGATAATCAGTGCCAACCAACTCTGTCGCAATGTTGTGTTTATGCATACTAATAGCGATTTCTTATTCCATCAATTTGAATCGTTTTACATATCGCTTTTATATATCCTTACTTTTTCCTACAAGGACAGTTGCTGAGATTTTTGCTTTTCAAGTTTTTCTGATTTCGGCTCGTCTATTTGTTTTTGAAGGATCCCATTCCTCTGTTTGTAAAGCTTTCTTCCTTCTTGCTTCTTTCTTGTGTTATTCACACATAGTGACCCCACACTGCTAACTTCTCTTCCTTAATTCTTCCCATCGTGGTATACTATGCTTTGGCAATAGAATGAAGCAAACTTCACGGTTGATGGTACAAAACACAAACCTGAAAATTTTGACTCCATGAAGACTAGTTCCCCCTCCCCTCGCTTTCCGCCCTTTAGCCATGTGCCAAGCCATCTCGCTCATAGCTAATCTATATATATATATATATATATATATATATATATATATATATATATATATATATATATATATATATATATATATATATATATATATATATAACTCAAAAATTGTCAGTTTGGAGGGTATGTGCGTTATAGAAACGCGCGCCACTCAACCGATTCAGCTGAAACTTTGCACACATATGTTTTCGACCCTTGCGCAGATGGCTATTTTTTGCGGCGATTCGTTGGGTTCTTCTATCGATTTATTGATTTGTTTACATTTTCCTAAGGAATTGAAGGGTTATCATGTTCACTCAAGCATTTTTCATACTCATGTAAAGGAGGGCGGTGAAGCTCATTTTCACCTCAGGATCACGAGGATGCGGTTTTCAAGCGGATGTCCCGGGGTAAGTCATCCTACCATATAGGGCGGGGGGGGGGCGGCTCGCAGTGCGGTGAACCATGGCCCGGGCTGGACCGGGAAAGCCAACTAATATATATATAAAACTCAAAAATTGTCAGTTTGGAGGGTATGTGCGTTATAGAAATGCGCGCCGCTCAACCAATTCAGCTGAAACTTTGCACATATATGTTTTCGACCCCTGCGCAGTTGATAGGCTACTTTTTGCGGCGATTCGTTTGGTCCTTCTATCGATTTATTGATTTGTTTACGTTTTTCTAAGGAATTGAAGGCTTATCATGTTCAGTCAAGCATTTTCCCATAATCTGTAAAGGAGGGCGGTGAAGCTCATTTTAACCTCATTATCACGAGGATGCGGTTTGAAGCGGATGTCTCTAGGGTAAGTCATCCATAACATATAAGGGGGGGGGGGGCTTGCAGTGCAAGTGAACGAAACAAGGCCCGGGCTGGACCGGGAAAGCCAACTAGTGGACTATATAGATAATTTTACGACTAAATTCAAAGACAGGGCACTGTTCCAGAAAGTACTGAGCTTCAAAAACACCACCGACTCGACAACCGAACAGATCTATGAGACGCTAAATGACACTGTAAGTTGTTTCGTCTACTTCAAACAACATGTAGTCGTTTACTTGTCCAAATGTACCAAATGTGTCAATTTATGCGATATTTAGACAGAAAGCTATGTCGGCTCGTCTATCGAACAAGTACGTAGTAGGTGGAACGACGTAAGAACAACAGTCGAAGACTCTAAGGAAGTTTCCAACACTTTGGAAGATTTTGAAAAGAAGATCGACAATATACTAGACGATGTATTCTCGGTAAGGCTAGGTTCGTTATTTTCTGTGTGCACTGATGACTGAGAAAACATATTTTGCAGTCAAAAATCTACAAGTCAATCAAACAAGGATTTTCATGGATTGTTACAATCCCTGGAATCATTACATTGTTGCTTGCTTTGGTCGCATCCATGCCGCTAATTCTATACATGTGCTTTCCTCAAGGTAACGCCATTTGGAAAACTTCCCAGCCTCTTTCATCAAAAGATTACAGCTAGATACACGGCAGTTGTGCACTTCTTATTTCAATTCTCTTTGTATGGCTTTTACGCCATTACCATATTCGCCTGCCTTGTGATCATCCTAAGCAGGTATGTAATTGGACTAGGTAATTCTCAATTGCTTTTCGTATTGATAAATGATATCTAATATTTTTCCCTCTTATTTCACTTGTGTAACATCATCTGGAAAAAATATAAACTTTAGTGTCGAGTATTTGTTTGTATCAATGACATCAACTGGCTGCAAAACACTGTTCCAAGACTCGAGCTACTCCTCCTTGACTTCTTTGCAGAAGGAGGTACAACTTGTTGAAGGCTATCATCTCAATCTTTCGTTGAGGTATATGTCCCCAGCTTTCAGATATAAGAAGTCTTCCAGTGTCCATTTTTAGGGATACTTTGACAAGCAGCAAAAAGGACGTCACATTGTGGAAAGCAATTAAAGCCGATTCTGTTTTTGACACAGACACCGTACTGGACATAGTCAATCTCGAATCGATAAAAAATTCTACGCTTGAAATGATCGACGATGTCAGACAAGAAGTTTTCAAATTTCAGGAAGATATCAGACCAAACAAGGTGAAACAAACCTCTCATTGTTGCCATTCATATATGCCTAGAACATCTTTTTTAGGATGATGCTTTCAAAATCATGAATGAAATGGAGGCATTGTTAAGAAACCTGACTCAGTTCTACACATTGAGTGAATGCTCGAACAGATTCCCCAATGAGACAAAAAAGATCGAACAAGGCGTGGCATCGATAAATTCGTAAGAATTAATTTATGATATACCAATCAAAGCAAAAGACTTTATATAAGGGCAACTAGGGGGGGGGGGGGTTCCCAAAGTTCAGTCTTGTGGGAGAAGGCGGCCGCAAGAAAAATTTTTGATAGACGTTTCTGGCATCATGATGCACTTGGAAAGAATTTCTACAGCTAGTTTGATAATGTAATTATAAAAATCCATACATATTTGCTTTCTTACGAATCAAAGCTCCATACTCCCCTTCTCACACCCTTGAAACAAATAAAGGCGTAAAATATGCTGCATGACGAATCCGAACCACAAAAATGGGCGTAGTTGGAGGCAGAGTCAACTGATTTAGTGTTTGCTCTCCCCATCAAAATGTAGTGTTTGCAGAATTTGCTCGAAAGAAGCACGATATTATCTGCGAGAAATGCTTGGTGGTTGTAAAACTTTAGTTCGTCATATTTAAAACTAAAATAGTATTTCTAAGAAATTTATCAGAAAAGAACTGTAAAATTCTTTTTCAATTTTGTCATCTTTTCCTGAACATAATCAATTTTTTTTCTTAGTAGACCTTGAAAAAGAGTTGTGCAGGTCTTTGTATTAGTCGCAACTGTCTTGTTATTTGCATTCACCCAAAATTTTGACAAAATTCTAAAATGTGGCCTATCAATTTAAGATTTTCAGATCTATGCACTTCTTCCAAAAAGACATGCGCGTTGTTGGAAGCGTGCTAGAAACAGTGATTAACATCGATAACAATACACTCGATGAAAAATTGGAAACAACACATTCGAATGTTCTCAATCTTGTTGAACAACCAGTACGACGGGGAATTGAAAGTGTTTTAGTGGGTAACATTCGCTATTTTCCCACCACGAAAAACAACAAAAGTAACTTTAGAACGATTTGTCTTCGAAGTTATTGCCAGCTCGTGCCGTTTACAATCTCTATCAAAATTTTGGATCACTGTTTTGCAGTGATATCGCCAAACCAGCTCATGGAGTATGGGCATCATCGGGTAATCATTTTCATATGTAAGGGCTTATCAAATTCATTGATTATCGCTTTTCAGGTCTATGCGGTCTTTCGATACTCTTTGCAGCTATCATCATCCTACTGATCACTCGCATGGACGATTACTGAGACGGAAAATTACAGCAGTAGAATGAATATCTTGTTTATATTACCATTACCTGCTCAAATTCACCATAAAATAAAATTTGAATTTTTTTCCAATTGGAAACAGATAATAAAGAAAAGATTCACAGTACTCTACCTGTACTTTTGGCTGGCTTCACAAATGGCCTAAAGTTATCCATATCTATTATCTAACTGATGATATGGTGTTAATAATTGTTGCCTAAACGAGAACTGACAAACGTAGCTAAAAATTATAGAAAGCCTTAAAATATGTAGTGCAACTTCCGCAGTCTCAAAAATTGACAGCTATGTCCGTATGAGAGCGGTACGATTAAGGATCTTGCATTATATTAGGCTGATGGAAATTTTTGAGTGTTTTCCTAGGATTTTTTCAAGACAACTTTTCCCCATCAAACTTCTATTTGCAAAACGGATTCAATACCAATTGTTCATTTTATGCTCTATCTCTGTTAAGAATTATAGAGCTCCAAGTAACCGCACTCAAAATCAGATTTTCTTTGCAATCACTTTTCTGGCCGGAATTCAAGCGCAAATGAAGGCGCCTTTTTGAAAATTTGGCTACTATATTTAATAGAAATTATCTACATTACGCACGTTTAATCATATTTTTTTGAAGTTATTCAAAATGAGATTTGGCGCCCTAACATGGGTAGCGATTGTAGTCATGATATGGCTCATAACTTTCTCTTGAAGAATGCAATCGCTAAAGCTTTGCTCAGTTCTGTAAGCGTGAGGATGGAGCATCCTGTGGACAGCTTTCGCAATACATTTAGCTTTTCAACAGGTTGAAAATCAGGAAACTCTATAATTCAGGGCTTTGGGCCTACCGAAAAATGCCGAAATACGGGATGCTTTTATTTGATTTTTTCCTTTTCGCTAATCTTATTTTTCCATGCCCTTTCCATCTAAGTTTGTTCCACTGACTTGCGGCTACAAGATGGATTATACTAACACAATGTGAAAGAAGTTATGATTTGTCGAAAACAAAACTTCAGAAAAACTTTTTTGTTTTTCAATCGTATCTTTGTACCTATGTGAAAAATACAGGTAAATGCGCGTTGTATTGGAAAAAGTTTGCTGCATCTTATGGTTTTTACCACATTTCAAAATGTAGATTTTATAGAAAGTTTAAAATTTGACAAACGCTCAATGTTTTTTGCATCACTCTAATGAATCTTTTTTCTAAAGAGTCGAAAGCTCTCCTATTTCTTTTTCTCTGCGTATTTTCAAACTCCGATACCATAGGCAACGAGCAGCCCAGAAAATTCCAATCGGACTCTACTTGTAAAAGAGATCAGAAACGTTAGCATGGCTTAACTGAACCTATTGACTGTATGGCGATGAGCATCGAATGTTCGTAGTGGTTGAACTATTCTTCCACCTAATGATAAAAATTTGTCGTTGGTTAGGAAAATACTTATCGAAAAAAATTTGGAATTTTTGTGCTGTTTGCGTAACTGGTGACGTTAAACTTGGGCTTACAAAAACGCCGCTCGATATAGCCTTTTTCGCACTCTCAAACTACATCCTTCCCTTTTGCTACTGTTCCTCCTAGCAAAGATTCGTCAATGCCTCACATTCAGTCTCCGCTGAGAAGTTCAGATGCAAATACATTTGCATACCGGATCTGGAAGAACATCTGTGCAAGCATGCTTCGACTTCCAACCTCGGACTGCGCATATGTTGCCACTGTGAAGCACTTTGAAAATGTTCTGAATAGAAACCTTACTTATACCTTCACATGAGCCGCTAAATGAGGATCGATTTCCAACAAGGATGAACACGTTCGCATCTGTATCACCAGCTCTATATAAAAGAGAATGAAAACGTGGATACAGTTCATTCATCGTCGTGTGTTAGGAAGAAGCTATGGCAGAAGGTGCTCCACCAGCAGATGCCGCCGCCGCTCCTCCACCAGCAGATGCCGGTGCGGCCCCTCCGGCCGCCGCGCCTGCCGCTGACGCGGGCGCAGCAGCCGCCGGCGGACCTCCAACTCTCACGGCCGATCCTCCAAATGCTACCGTACCTGCGGCTGGCGGTAAATCGACACACAAGTTGGCCAATCCTGGAGCACAGAAACTGATCTTCAAAGTGAAAAGTTCAAACAACAACGAGTATCGTGTGAATCCTGTGTATGGATTCGTTGACGCCTCCGGCAGTGCGCAACTGGAAGTTACTCGCTTGGTGAGTTTTAGCCTTACCATTTCGGAGGAAAACTGAGAGGCGGGGGAGGTGAGAGGAGAGTTTGGAACCAGGCACTTTAAACGTTCTAAACTAATAAATTTTCAGGCTGGTGCCCCAAAAGAAGACAAACTGGTGGTGCAATTTGCGCCCGCTCCAGCTGACGCTACTGATGCACAAGCAGCATTCGCTGCAGCGACTCCTGCAGGCAACATCACCATCAATCTCAGCGCCACCTAAATGATATGATAAAGTAATCGAGCTAATAAAGGCTTGTTCAGGGAGGTTCACAATAAACCCCTGAATTCGATATGTCGATTACTTATGTGTGTGTTGAGTAAAAAATGTGAAAATGTCACAGACACATCGCAAAACTTGCTCAGGTAGACAGTTGAGTCTCACAGTACAGTCACAGCTGCAGCACACAAGACTTGAGGCGATTGCCTATACCGGAAATTTGTGTACCTCAAGCTGATCTCAGTACTGCGCCCACAGATCAAACCATTTCGGAAGCGCTTGCAGTCCAGTCTCAAGTCGCTCAGGGTTTCAATGAGCGATAAGCAGCTGACTACATTGCCTATCAGCAAAGGGCTGAAGTAAAGACGATTGAGCGCGCAGATAGCTCCTGCCACGAGTTGGACTGGACTATATCTTTCGTTTCATGATCCGTAGCAAAAGCAAAGTCCCCTTCCTTGCAATTCCGACGCTAATGTCGTCACAAAATGTGACAGTGCTATCTTCACAGAGAGTCATAGTATGCCCCAATCAGGATCGACCCATAGCTGGGATATGGGCGCCAGGCGACAAACCCGGGTTTTAAATCCTAAAGAACCCCCCGTCTTCGGCGGCAAAAGCAGGGAGTGAGGCTCAGAGAGCATACATAACGCGACGCCATTGAAAAAAAATGGCACATAGTCGTGAGCTACAGGCTTTAGGTTGCTTGCATTTTGCACGTTTTGACGCCTAACGCTTGCCCTCCGGGCTAAGCCTAAGAAGAGATGGACGGAGGCCTATGCTCGGACTGGACCTGACAGGAAAGGCTCAACATCGTGAGCTGTTTAACACAGCAGCATGCTTGCCATTGGCACGAAATCTGATACAAATGCACGCTGGGTTACGGTAACTCACAACTCACATATACGCAAGCTACCGTAATCGCCATAGCGACGAGCATGAGCCAAGAACTCGGGCTCTGAACTTCATTCTGGGATGCAAGTGCAAAGTGTCCCGTGTTATAGCTTGCATAGTAGAATGTGTACAAACGTACAGACTTGTTTAGAGATAAAGCCCGAATTGAATTGTCACCACTGTTAAGACTTCCAGATGAGCAGGGAAGTACCTAGTAGTCTTAGCTTGCATATATGGTTAGATCTTAGGAAAAAGCTCTCTTTCTGTGGAGATATAAAGCAAAACTGGGTCTAGCGAAAACAATCTTTTCTAAAGTGGTTGCGCTGCCTAGACTTAATCCAAACAGAAAGAATCTTCATTCTCATTACTATTTAACAAAAATAGGAATTGTGATATTTCCAATGGTTTCTGCTGTACGATATGCAACTTGTGCATCAGTAGCGTCTGTAGGCGCCTGAGCATAATTCACCACAATTTTATCCTCCTTGACTGGTCCACCCTAAACACACACAAACGACACTCCAGTTTCGCACTGAAATTACCGCTCACTTGGCGAGTGATTTCCACCGTCGTTTTCGCACCGGGTCCAAGAATCCCAAATACAGGATTGACCCGATAGCTAGTGTTATTAGAACTTTTTATCTTGAAGATCAGACGGTCTTTGCAGCAATTTGTCAACGTATGCGACGATGCACCACCAGATGCGGCAAAATCAGCAGCTGATGGATTAGCTGTTAGTGACATCGAAAGATAGGAAAAATGAGGCTAACCCATACCCAAGTGTCTATTTATACTTCCGTAAGGGTATGTTGGTCTTATCAGTAAAGGATATGGTGAGAGTGGTGAGAAAGGAGGTGATAATTGACAAAATAGATTTATTGCCTAAGCCTTATAAAGCATTACACTTGATCAGTTGCTTCTGTATAAAGAATTTCCAGTAGCTAAGCGGCTGCTAACCTGCAGCTATGGACGCCTACGAAGTGAAAAGCAGTGAATGCTCTGGAGACAATGAAAAACAGTCCATCTTACGGTACTGTCTAAGCTAAATTGCACTCATCTCTAAAATGACGTTCAGCAGCCCAAAAAAAAAACCAGCGTATGCATTGCACAGCAGTAATTCACCATAAGTCACCATTACAGTGCTTGCACAATACGTTATAGTTTTCTAACGCATATCAATGTTAATTCAACAACAGAGCAAAATGTAATTTATCTTCATACACATCATGAGATTCTGTAAAGCAAAATTGAATACAACAAGTGCACAAAAAAATCACAAAACGCGCATTTTTAGGCTTCTAAACACTTTTCGAGATAACTAAATAATCCAGTAAAAGGAAGTCGTTTACTTCTGGTTATTCTGATGTTCACAAGTAGGGAGAGAAAAGTCGAGATAGAGTGGAGATTAGCGCAATATAAGTGAAAAAACGAGATGATGAGATAAAAGGAACCCGTACATTTAGCGACATCAACAAATTATATTACAAGTGATAAAAAATTTCTTTTAGCTGTTTTTTAATCTAAACTTGCATCTATTGACGAAAAGTGTCAAACTTCCAGTAGTTCTGCATATGGAGTGAATTTTGGCATCAAGCACTTGAATCCTCCTACTTTTTACCACCGCCTTGAAAACGCATGGGAATTACTCTTGAAAATGCTAATCTTTCACCAGCTTATACCTCCGCAAATCGGACCATATGATTCAATTTAGGCACGAATTTCTTCAAATCTTCTTCCAGATACAGCTCCATTATTTGGTCAACCGAGAAAAGATTACGGCTGTTAGGGAAGCTGGCCTAAACAGAAACTAATGATCTTGTGAGCAATCATATCCAGGGTTGAGCGTGGGGTTAGGCGCGCCCGACCTGGGGGGTCGTACTGGGTAAGACAGAGGGGGGGGGGGGTCGTGATTAGGAATCGAATCCGTTCGATTGAGGAGATACTACGATTAAGGTGAAGAAGAAAAGCGCTAGTTTAGTGGATATCGCGACCTCACCAGTACTGAAGGAATGAACGGTCTTAAACAGCATACTGATTGATTCCACAATCGAAGTTTCGGCCAAAACTCAAATCTTCATCTTCTACCTTGACATATTATAAATTCATCAAGGAAGCTTGCTGTGTGAAATAGGTATCATTTCCGAGCACATCAAATTACCTCTATGAGCCCTACAAACCATTATTTACTGCATTATCTAGTGTTTCTCAACGACTAAAAAGCGTGATTTTCAAACATGATGAACTTGTTTTCAAAAGTGAGAAAAGTTGTACTCGTAACAAAGTATTGTTCCCTACTAGTCTAGGCTAAAAATCGCGCTTTGTATCGCTTGCAAATAGTGGAGTAAGAAATAATGCCAAAATTCCGACCGGCGCGTTTTTCGCCATGACTGCTTCAACTCTACGGATTACCACAAGGCCGAAACAAATCGAATCAAGTCCAAACACTTACTGTGGAATCTTCGAGGGTTGTGCTAGCGATTCACATAAAACTTGAATAAAAAAGCTTCTTCAATGATAAAGTTAATCGGGTCAGGCGCAACCCCACAAAAGGTCAGGCCGCCTGAGCTTTTGAGGGGTTGCGCCTGACCCGATTAACTTGTTTTCAAAATCTAAAAATCGCTCCATTTCTGCTATGAGTATTGAACTCAAAGCCTCTTCTTGCAATATTGCAAATTTGGAGCCAAACAATACACCCCTGTGGGAATTATAGCTCTAAAAGTAGGGCTATCCAAAATCCAAAACTTGCCGTCAAGTTGCGTGTGCCGTGCAATCGCAGAAACGACCTACAGACCTCCAAAAAACAAGAACCTCCCAAAAACGGCTGATCTCTTCGAGTTATCACAGCCTGAGGTCCTGGAGGTGAAGCAAAGGGGTCGTTTAGGGGCTTTCACTGGGGGGGGGGGGGTCGTTTTGGAAAGACTTGTGCCTGACCTCTTGCTCAACCCTGATCATATCGCAACATAACACACCCATATCTCTCTGGCAACTTCCAAAAGCAACTGAGCTGAACCTCCGGACTTTCGTTGATAAACACATGGAAGTGTGATTCGATACGAATGCACAACCTGTGACAGGCGTTTCCTCTCTTAAAATTGTCGCACATGTTTGTCGAGGAGTTCTTAAGACAAATAAAGAGAGAGGAACACACATACCGCTATAACACTTCACACACCATGTCTTGGTGCCTTTTTCAACAATAAACTCGTAGTCGCAGATCAAGCATCTTGCTGTGAATATTATCGCACGACGTAGATAATCCAACTCTTGCATGGTTTTTACGCTCGCTTCAATAGGACTGAAATAGAAAATAGACTCGGTATAGGCTAAAACCAGGGAGGATGAAATTGACTTACTTCACAAAACATATACAATCCCCAATTTCCTGCTTTAGTATCTCTTCGAGCTCATCTTCCAGCTCATAAGTGGATACTACTGACTTTTCCGGCTTCTCCAGTTTTCTTTCCAGTGCAAAATGGAAGAAATTGTCTCGTATCTTGAAATTACTGAGTAGGCAGACTGAATTGACAAGAGATTAGGTGTACCTTGCTGACCAATGCAACATCTGCATTCAAATTTTCAAAAGGTTCGTCCTTTTCCAGGGCAGCTAGTAAATCCTTCTCATACACAGCACTTGGCTGCTCTTTTACATGAACAGCTGTAATCCCGCGCTGAACAGTCTCAGAAGTTTGTTCGTCTGGTGATTCCCATTCATCGGAATCAATAATTATGCGTTTTGGAGAGCCAGATGCGGGAGTGCCCCCGTGGGTGGTCCGCTGCTGCAATTGGAAATAGACTTCGTAAGTTCTGTTTAATAAATTTGACCCACACCTGTGAAGACAAGTCCTTTTGCAGCGGTTGCATTGAAGTTGATGGCTCGGACGTTTGAACGGACTCTAACGTTGCTGAACATGGAGCTTCAAGTGTGCTCAAAAAACAAAGTTAGAGCGAGCTTTACGAAATTTGCAGAACATTGAACTATACAAATAAATAAAATTGTAATGTACAGTTGAGAATTTGTCTGGGAAAATATGCGATGGTTCAAACTCGAATGTACAAAGCAATTTGATTTGAAAAAAAGAGTGACAAAAGTGATCAACTATAAAGAGCGTAACGCAGATTTGTGCACATTCAATAGCAAACTCACGTTCTTTTCCGCCAATTTGCTCCTAAAAAAAAACATAAACAACTGCAGAGCAACAAAAAAAATAGGCTTACCTGCTCCGCATCAACAGCAACCCCAATGGCAGTCTCAACGCTTGTGCGTTTTCTTTTAGGTGATGGGGATTCCAGTCTATGTGACTGCTTTCTAGTAGCAATGAGGTCAAGTTCCAAATCACATTCCTCCTCAGAGGACACACTGCTCAATTCCTGAAGAGCCTATTATACGTGAAGTCTATCTTCAAAATTGTCTCTTTTACGATGCGGCGCCTATTTTGGCCCTATGTTCAAAAAATGAGGTCAAAAATGAAGATCACTTTGGAGAACAACGAGAAACATTATACGAGATGTCCATCAAGGGCAAAAAAGAGAGGAGCTGAAAATCAGTACAGAAGAAGCTTTTGACAACGCAGGAAATCAAGCCTATTATTTTTTACAGTTAGGCAAGACTATCAGGTTTAGAAAAAAGCTTCAAGTCAAAGTCGACTTATCGATACTTCAAGGGAACGAGAATGCATATCTGCTGGGAAAAATGTCTTAACTGCATATCATTAGGTCATGTAATCACAAGGACGGCCAGCTTACTATTTGACTAAAAAGAATGAATGCTTTTATAAAATAAATAAGCCAAATATAGTTACACTCACCATTACATTTCCGCTAGCGCTTTGTAGTTCTTCTAGAGGAGTGTCAGGTGCTAGCACCTCATCAGGATCATGTGAACTTCTTGGCTACAAAAGATACCCATGTGCATGCGAAACGTCGACTAAGTCGAAACGGAAAAGTCAATTTGAATAGGCCAAAAGTTTCAAACTCTTAACAGATGTCACCTCATCCCGATAATCGCTAAAATCATTGGCATCTTGCAATTCTCCCAGTCTCCTTCCACATTCGCTGACAGCTTCAGACGTTGCATCATCTTTAGAAAAAAGAGGAGTAGACTGAGCGAGCACGTTTTCAGGTAGGATAGGTGTCATGTTTACGACTGAATCACTCAGGACGTACGTATCACATCGCGAAACAACAATCGGAAACTTACCTGAACTAGAATTTTGCTGCTCTGTAGATGCGCCTAGATAGCGCGACAGTGTATCCGCACATTGCCTGAACTCGAAACTTTTAGAACTTTTCTTTGACTATCACCTAACATCATACTTCGAGATTTCAAAATGTTTCGGATCGCTTTTGTCGAGAACTTCCAAGGCACGCCCATACTGCAATCCTCCCTCATGCATGGTTATCGCCGATATGCCATTAGTTGATGAAGTGTAATTCCGAATGTTACAGAGATAAACCACATCATTAACCTGGAAGCACTCAAATCGTATGATACAGCTATGGAAGCTCGGTTTGAAATTTTATATAAGGCTAGTGTGGGAATGACTCTAATTGCTTCTTGTCTGGCAGGCTATGGTTCTATTGCACACCAAAATGTTACAGTTACGGGACAATAAGTAAAGAAAATGGAAAATTAGTTTACGTCCACTCCGCTCAATGAGGTCATTTGCAGCATGCGTTGAACATACCTGAACAGACAATGCCTTCTTCGCCCAATCACCGTAACAGCATACGTCAATGACGCTAGTTTCGATCATAAAGTGGAGGTGTAGAGGGATCTCACAATAAATAGTGTCGATAGAGTCCTTATCTGCGTGGAACATATTTCGATATGATGGAAATCTAAACATGTGCAGGGACTACAATGTATTTGCTAGTGACAAATGACCTACTTTGGCGTTGTTCCATCCCAAACTCTCAGAAAGACTGTGAATGGTTCTCCTTTTCCTTTATATACACCAAGGACCTATAAATCTCATCATATTCATTTCATTTTGCGTAACATAAATAACTAACCTGGGCATACCAATTGAAAAACTTCTTGCCAAGCTTGGGAATATCTAGAGCATTCGCAATGTTGTCAGAAGAGCGCAACTTCTTTTTAGCGGGCGATCTATGTATACGTTATGGTAGCTGCGATAACTTGGAAAATAGTTGAAGCTCACCTGCTTGACGTTGGTTCTACAACAACAGGCTCATCTATCATTCTATTAACAGGAATGTCCTCGCCTAATTCTCTTTCCTGTATTGCCCGTGCAGACGTTCCTGCCTCTGTTGCATGTTCGTCTTGTGTCGTGTTCAGCTTACGAAGAGCAGCCAGCTAGAAAGAGAAAATTTCTTTAAGGTTAATTGGCTGCATTTTACTTTGTATATAATAATTTCCTATATATTTAAATATCATTGGTAATTAATCTTAACAAACTTAAAAAAATTACAAACTTGTATAGTCGTCCTCCCCCCACTAGACACCTAGTGGACGAATTTGAATTCGAACTAAAGCACGCCGGCTGCGGCAGAGCGCGACACCGTCAAATGCATTTCAAGCTAGTGCGGTATTCTTTTGTGTTTTTATCGTCGACACATTGTGATTTTTTCGTTCTAATGACGGTTGTAATCAGAAGTGAAGAGTTTATTGTTGCTTAGCGATGTTTCGTACTACTATGCCCGTTTCTTTGCTCTGTTTTCAGGTGAGGAAAAAAGGATGCGCATGGGGAGTTCTTGACCCAAAGTTCAATGAAGCAAGACTAAGTTCAAGACTTACCGAGAAAACTTCACCAGTTTTCAAACTTACTTAGTCGTTTTCCAAAATCAACTTGGAATCATATCAAAGAAACGAGCTTGGTAGCACGATTCATCGCTCGAACAAAAACAACAACTTCAAGACCAACTGAGAAAACTGCTAGCGTTCAAAAATCAGCTGGAACGTAGGGAAAACACGAAAAAATTTGTTTAAGATTGAAGCACGAGCTGCAGGTGCCGCGCTCTGCCGCAACCGGCGTGCTCTAGCTCAAATTCGAATTTGTCCACTAGATGTCTAGTGGGGGGAGGACGACTATAGACGCAAGCAACGTTCAAATTTGGTTGCTTATCAAAACTGGAATCAGACTAGTTGATAGTGTAGAGATGTTTGAGCAACTACCGAGGTAGCGATAATACTTTTTTTACGGCCAAGTTTTCGGCGAAATCGCCCTCGCCAGAAGCGAGATACTCGGTTATATCGACGGCCGTAGTTATCACTGCTCTCTTGATAAAACGCTCAATCAATCTCCCAGATATCAACTGCAAGCAACATTGTGATAGATCAAATAGGGATTTTGATGTAACAAATAACTAAAAGTTCAGTCCTACCCGAGACAGATCACTTTTATTCAAAGTGTACTTTTTCGAAGTAGCAATATGAGGTACATCGGATTGTCCTCGCCAAGCAACAGCGTGGCATCCAAAGTTATGTATATTCACCAAAAGAGCTGGATTGTTCTGATAAGATCCAATCTGCAATGTGATCGACTTACAAAGCTTTTCCAACACATGGAATGACTGAGGACTAGGATTAGTCAGACCAAAAAAAAACGGCCGGGCAGGAGGCAGCAAAGGACAGCCGCTTCTGCTCATGAAAGTACCTGAGGAGTTTTAGACTTTCTCGCGCCTTCAATCACCTTCAGCTATCATTCATTCTCTCTCAGACAGTGGAAGGGATACCTCCGGAGCGAAAATGGGAGAGTCCGCTCTGCCCAGCGGGATTGCCACTCGTGCTCCGAAGCCCTCCCATTTCACCCATTTTGGTGCTCCGGAGGTTCCTCCAAATTTTGGCGCACTCCCGGAACTGAGATTTGCGAGCCCCGGGGAGGGGTCATTCGCCTTCTTGTGACGGAGGTACCCCTTCGACTGTCTGAGCTGTCTAAGAGAAGCGAGCACGCTTTGCGTACGTTTAATATACAAGTTTATGAATGGGTTCTTACGCGTTTTGGTTAATTATTAGGGTGGACGGTAAAAAATGGGACAGCTTGATTTTAGTTATATTTTGGAGTTTTTTGTTTCGAGCAACAGCAAGTAGGCTGCAACTTGAATGTCGCTTACATGGGCGACCTTCACCTATTATTCTGACAACGCGTTAACGCTCCTCTTCCACTACCCTACGCGTGGCGCCCTGAAGAACTCAGACAGGGTTTTTTGAACAATTCTCAATCTTGCGCTGCTATACCGTAAAATTGTATAGCAAATTACATACCATTCGAAAGAGCTCTTCATGCTCTTTCAAATGATATGTTAATTGCATGAGTTTTCTTCTCAATTTCAGAAAAAAAAGCGAAAAACCCTGAAAAACAGCTATTTTTGGAGCAATAAAAAAACCAAAAAATCATGTTTTGCCCTACATTTTTCGAAGATAGATGAAATCTGAGGTAAGCTGCATATGGATGGATAGAGCGTAAAAAGCTCTATCAGATGATACCTAGAAAACATGCATTCACCTGCAAAGAATTGAATAACGCGTATCTTCGTTCTCAAAGCTGTTAATGGCCATATCTCCTGACTTTGAAAGTTGATGCCACCAAGTCGTCGTGGGTTTGGTGACTGTCCCACCACCCATTGCAGCAGTGGTACCCAGTGGTACTTTGGGTGGTCTCACATGTTTGACTGCGCAGAAACTGCTCGAAGTTCATGATTTGTCGAAGTGACTAACTTTGCACTTCAGCAAGTATAAAAGTTACTAGGTGTGTAAATGACCTTATACAGGTACTTTCTGAAAGAGAATAATTTATTCTAATATCCACCAAAATTGGAAAGTTCAACCACATTTCTTTCTTGAGAAATCTGCAATTATTCTCAAGGTGTCCCATTTTTTACCGTTCACCCTAATACAATTAGAAATTCGTGAAAGAACGTGTTTAAGCCAGTGCGGATTAACGAGCTCAAACACGTTTTTCCAGAATTGCGATAATAAAATCCACCAAAACGCGTTAAAACTCATTTATGAACTCGTCAACTGAGTGTAGAATGAATGATACTTGATATGATGTATGCCCCCTCCCCAAGTTCGCAAACTTTTCAAGCTTGTTAGATTTCTAGCTATAGGTATTATGCTATAAAATTAGCAAATAAAATAGTGATTGCTAAAAAAGACTCATAAATGTTGGACACATTCGATAACGAAGCGGCATGAAAAACCAGACTTGAGTTTATTTGGAAAGTAGCTCGGTCGTTAAATTTTTGAGCTGGAATCCCAAACATAATTTTATAAATGTTTCTCGTCATAATTATTTCGATCGAATACAAGGACTCTAAAGACCAATGGCATACGTTCAATTGGCAGACTTACTCCTTTCTGAACCATTTGGAAAAAAAGTGTCCTGAACTCTTCTCAGGAAGCTCTTGTATTTGGGTCGTGATAGTTAGTCACGATTTGTCGTGTTGGAAAACTATCACAAGCGAAATGCAAGAAGATCGGCATGCAATGTTATTGTTATACCTAGCTGTCTTGTCACAATTAATCGCGATAATGAAATCGCGTGAACTTTGCCCAAGGCCTAAGGAAGTCCGGAACTCCTCACACTTCCAGAAGAAAAGACGACTAGCCTTTGCTGCTTTTGCCGGACGTCCAAAAAGCAGCGTAATCACAAAGCTATTGTGGTCTATTCTTTGCCAAAAGGGAGAATTCACCGCATCAACAAAAGTAAATCATCTGTTCATATCATACTCAACAACTTTATCTGAAGCGTTGAAGGATAACTACCAAAACACTTACTTCCGTTCGATGTAATCGTAGGACGTCACCAACTTGCAAGTCGTTGAAGTAATTGGAAGATGCTTTTGCAACTTTAACAAGTGCACTAGCATCTTCATCCTTGTTAAAAAAAAAGTGAAGTAATCTATGCAGAAGAAAACGTGCTATCAGAAAAATTGCACAAATGATTGAAGGCTTACTTGTATTTCGATTAGCTGACCACCAAAGTCAGAATCTGTTATAGATCGAACCACACCATAGACATACACTCTACCGGATTCTGGCAGTTCGCGGAGTTTGGTATAACAGTAAGCCGATTCACCTTCGTCCATTTCCTGAACTATGGAAGTTCGGAATACGAGGTTTTTGAAAAGTCGATTTTTCCGCATGATTATCGCAACTGCACGCAATGCAGACGACTTCACGTCATATCGTGCATCTCCAGGATTGCCCCTACGGTAGGTGCCAGAGTAAGCGAATATTTTGTTCAAGTTGGGGTCCCGCGCAGAACTGGCATCACTAATCATTGTGGCATAATGCCAACTTGGCGTTGTGCCACAATGATTAGTAACGCCAGTTCTGCGCGGGACCCCAACTTGAACAAAATATTCGCTTACTCTGGCACCTACCTATGGCACGCGCCATACTTGATCCGCTTGATCCGCTTGAATTGCTTCATCCACTTCGCCATTGGTCAATTTGCTGATTTGACCAATAGCGAAGTGGATGAAGCGGACCAAGCGGATCAAGTATGGCGCGTGCCTATATGAACCATCAACGAGGCTGCCTTTCGATCGTTTTCACACGTCCAATCTGGAATGGGGATTATGCGTAAAAAGTATCTTTGGGGCCTAACTACGACATGGCCCAAGCGGCAGCGCTAATGACTCACTAACAGTTGAGATATACGCCTCCAAACTGGACCCCAGGATCGTATTATCGGACGACTTGCATCGTGTTCGCATGCTTTAGCGTGAGGCCACGCGAAACTGATGTGTCGCGCCATGAATCCATGGCAATACGATCCTGAGGTCTATTTTGGAGGCATATACCTCAGCCGTTAGTGAGTCACTGCGCTGCCGCTTGGGCAGTGCGTTAGTTACTTACTTAGATACTTAGATGGCCCGGCTTCACGTGAGGTGCGGGCCCCAGCACAGAAGTTTCCATTTCTCCCTATCCCTCGCTTCACATCCACGATCTTCTTGGTTGACGTCGGTGGCTGCGTCCACGAGTTCCAGGTGCAAAAATCGTATACAGCTAGTTTTTCAACTGGTCCATTCGTTCCACGAACAGTCTGCCCTCTCGTTGGTCTTCCTCGGGGACGTTTTGCTTCGCGAGGAATCCACTCCGATGTTCTTAGTGTCCATCTGTCGTCTGTTCTTCTAATAATCGGCCCATCGATGCTTCGCTTTCGCAACGTAATCCGTTGGGTCACGAAGACAGGGCAATTTTCTCATTTCCATACTTCGAAGTCCGACAAGGTGTTGTTTGTGTCGGCTCACCTCCAGAAGACTACGCTCAAGCGCTCTGTGGGTGGTCTCAAAGCTTTCGAAGTGGCTACGTGTCAGCCCAAGTCTCAGCTGCGTAAGAGAGCGCCGGGAGAAAGGTTGTGTTGAACAGGTGGGCACGAAGCTCCGGGTCCGTCGGTTGGTCGGTGGCTTCCTTCAGAGACGCGAAGGCGGTCCAGGCTGCTCTTCTTCTCCTGTTGAGTTCTTCCCTCAACTCGTTCTCTATGTTTAGCGAACGTCCGAGATACACGTAAGAAGACGTTTCCATAATAGGAGTGCCTTCCAATTTCATTTCTGCATCTTCCCAAAGGGAATCTCCCATCAACTCGTATGCCTCTCTCGTCCCAGTCCAGTGACTTCATCACCAACTGTAAGGCTGCGGTGAACAGTTTCTGCGAAATTGTGTCGCCTTGTCCAACCCCCTTCCCAACTGGGATGGTCAGAGGCGATGGAACAGCTGCATCGTCGTTGTACAGTCCTTGTAACAGTTGGCTAACGTCCTCACATAAGCTGGGTCCACTCCTTGATCGACTAGCGCAGACAGGATGGCGTTGGTTACGACGCTGTCAAAGGCTTTTTCGTAGTCGACAAAGGTTGGGACGGGAGGCAGACTTTGGTGACGCCCGAAACCATCTGGGTATGGTCCATGCAGCTGAACCCTTTGCGAGATGCAGCTTCTTCTTGGGTGGGCCTCATCCAGTGTCCTAGATGTGTGAGCGAGGATAATCTTCGTAAAAAGCTTGTACAGCATACTCAGCAGGCATATCGGACGGTAGTTTCGAAGATTCTCTCCTTCACCCTTCTTGAAAAGAAGGACGATTCTTGACGTTCTTCACTGGTCGGGAATCCTTTCCTTCCGAAGGTAAGGTGATAGATGCGACGCGAGAATCTCGCGTAGACGTTGTCCTCCGGCTCGGAGAAATTCGACGGAAAGATGGTCTGGTCCTGGAGCCGTGGACGTCTTCTAGTCTTAATCGCCGTGCGCACTTCAGCAGGTAGATTTCGTGGTGGTACTTTTTTAGTGGGAACAACCTTCATCGGCACGGGTGGATGAACGGAAGAGGTTGGTGTAGAAGTTCTTCGCGATAGATTCCATCTTGTATCGGGACGAAGTCGGAGTCCCGTATTCGATCAATAGTGCAGCCAGCGGTACGTGATATTCACAGAGGTCCCTTCGGCACTTCTTAAGACTTCGTCTTCCTTTGGCTGCTTCCAGTATCTTGGCTTGCCCGTACTTCCTGAGATTCTCCTGCAAAGCTATTCTGCAACTGGCGGCTATCAGTCGCTCGAGATGGGTTGCATGATCCTTCAGAAATCTTCTTCTTTCGAGCATTTCCTTGGTAGTCTTCGAAATACGTTTCAAGTTCTTCTCAGAAGTCACTGTGGTGCACTCTCCGCAGGCTCGCAATCCTTTCAAAAGCCAATCATAGTCGTATGTTGGGTCCTCCTCGATGGCCCAGTCACAACTTGATATGAGCTCTTCCAGCCTTTTACCGTCATGACTTCCTTCCTTCTCGCGGCACTGTGTCAGACTTTCTTTTCCAGCCTTCGGCTGAGTCGTTTCTTCGCTCGAAGGAGACAGTGATCGGAGCCACTACAGAAGGATGGAACTACTGAGACATCGAGCAAGCTCCACCTTCGGTTGGTGAGAATGTGGTCGATTTCCGCCTGAGTCGTTCCGTCGGGCAATTCCCATGTCCACCTGCGATGTTCCTGCTTCTCAGACAATCGCTGGGGGCAGGCGGGCACCGGAAAAATAGATTGCTGATTTCTCGCACCCCGCTCGCGGATTTTTTGCAAAGCAATCAGGACTTTTCGGAAGACCGCTTGCTGAGTCAGCGGATTTTTGAGAGACCGCCTGTTGAATTTTTTTTCGCTCTTATCTTTTGCAGATATATTGCTGAATCTCTGAGGAATCGAGAACTCAGCAAGCGGAAACTTCCGAAAAGTCCTGTTTGCTTTGCAAAAAATCCGCGAGCGGGGTGCGAGAGATCAGCAATCTATTTTTCCGGTGCCCGCCTGCCCCCGGCGATTGTCTGAGTTCATGAAAATGAAGCTTCCATGGAAAAGTCGTGCGGCAGAGAGAAGCCCAACAAGACGGTTGCCGTTTTCGTTCCAGAACCCATATCCAGTGCCTTAGTTAGAGCTCCAAAATTACTTTCCACGTGAAATCCCCATAGGTCCAGATTTACCTGGACGCTGCCTTTAACTCCAGCAATTTTGAGGCATTTATTCCAAGGTGACATGTTAAAATGGTCAAAAGACAGTCACGTTGATGGTTCATATGGGGAACTCTGGGGATGCACCATACACGATTCATGACACGCAAAAAATGGGCATCGTTGCGTCCGGCCAAGACAGTTCGTGCAAGGGAGAGACAGCAGATGGTAGAAGAAGAGTAAAAGCGCTCGATCAGAGAGACGCCGATATTCCGCAGTTTTGCGTGCTTGGAATCGCTTATAAAGGAATCCGTTGACGACTCGTGCAATTATACCACCGTTGTCATGGCTTTTTGGAGCCTTTCCAGCTTTACAGTACGCTGCAACGCCCGGGAATTCGGTAGCTTGCAGCATCCCTGTCCTTTAAACTCTTTTGTTGATTTAAGCATTTCACATCGTTTTTTTCTTATTTTTCATTTCAGGCACTCTTTCTAATGTCTAGTGAGACCATCGCCGCGAGCAAAGTTAAAGGAACGAATTAGCCTTTTTCGTAGTTGCAGTGGTTGGTATCATGGCTACGATTGGGATTGCATGTTTTCTTCAATGTTTTGTAATGTCATGACATGTTCCTGAGGACAGACCACTGAAGTGACTATTTCAGCACTCTTTGATCAGGGACACCATGCAGGAGAGCGGAAATAAACATTAGGTGGTCTCGTTTAAGGAAAATTCATGATAGACACCACTGCTCATGAACAAAGCACATCCTTTCACCTAGTTTTGCCCAGGGTGATGGTTCACGACTGTAAAAAGGATGTTTGGTAGGTGAAATGGGAACGGAACTTTAGAAATGTGCCCAAACAAATTTTTTCCTAATTTTTTGAAGTAGATTTTAATATATTTGAACATCGAGAGAACTTAAGAAAAAGGGGAAACGAATGACTGAATTAAATACAAGAACTAAGAAGAAAAACAATGTGAAATGGTAAATCAACAAAGAAGCTAAAGGATAGTGTTGCTGCGAGCAACCAAGTCCCGGCGCGCTGCGCGTACCTATACGAACTCTCCATGTTCGTATTGTACTTTGCGCCCGAAGAATTCCGCATGAAGAACAACGACAGAAGCGCGAAGTTTCCCACAGGCTCGTATCTATTGTTTTGTTAGCTGTTAGCTTATCTGTGATATTCTCATGCTTTCTGGTATTTTGTTTATAATCGCTCGCATAAGAGAAGGTGGCAGAGCGTAGTTAAGGTAATGTGTCTCATTTTGTTTGATTTGCCTTTTCTTGTTTTGCCTTTGTGTCATGCTTTGTATTATTTATGTACACATTTTTCTTGCTTCTTTCACAGTCTGTCACGGATCCCACACAGTGTTCGCTCAGTTCACGGAATCCCTCACAGCAACTCACAGGATATGCGGTTGACATATATTGCATCTATACTCCTTATGTAATATCGTCGTAGCTCATTATAGTTGTTAGTTGCCTCTTAGTAATAAAGTTTAAATAACCAAGTTTGAGATGTGATCGCTGTGCGCAAGTCCCGCGTGGCAGCCAATCGATCACAGTCCACCCACAGCGCATACAACTGTTCACCGGGTGTACATTACCGCCAAGGTGCAAGGCTCCAGAAAGGCACGCCCTCATGTTGGTGTAAGTGCACGAATCGGGGCAGTCGTCGACGAATATCCTTTAAAGAATCGCAGTTGTTCAAGTGGTGTATGTTTTGCATCGAACTGGCTACCCACTTTCAGGTATAAGAATTTTCGTCGCTGAACACTCG